TGATTTACAGATGTACACATTTTTGTCATGATGACACGACAGTCATCCCCTTCTTCCTGCCTTTCCGTCCCCCAGTGCAAGCGGTTATGGCCCTGGACGGAGCATGGGGTTTCTGGCAGCTCGGCGTATCAGACGTGTTCTGTGACGAGTGGGGGAGCGCAGATGCGCTTGGCAAAATTGGTTCTGGGACTGTGACGTGTGACCAGCACGGCATGGTTACCGAACTGTGAGCTCTTTGATGAGATGTGCGCTTTGAAAAAGGAGTACATGTTCAGGGGGGAAGGAGAAAGTGAGGAGGGGTTGATCGGGGGAGGGAAGGGCAGTATACTATGGAGCAGGGAAGTGGTGGTTGGAATGATGGATGATGGAAGAGAGGCAACACTGCAAGTGCAAGGTGTCCATTCCATGCTATAGGAACGTGCTTGGAAGCTAGTAAAGGGCAAACTTGCATACCTTTGAGTGTGTCACAAACGTACCTGCTTTCCGTACCAGTGCAGCAGGCACTGGTCAAGCTGCTGGCAACAATTCCACCGATTTCATTAAAACGTAGAGCCCTGCTCCTTTTTTTTTCTTTGTTGCACTGTAAAGCTCGTATGATCCGTGTAGGTCTGTGTATCTCCCCAATGTTCCGTTTGCTGTACCGGAAGGATCTGGCGGAGTCGTTCCGGAAGCCAACACAGACCACTGCTGGGATGGAGGCACCGGGATGGCTGTAGGGGTACTAGAAAGGACCACATGGGTTGTTGTGGTGCGCTGATCCACCACTGGAACACATGTGTTGCCGACCTAGAATAATCCTTGTATCTCTACATATCCTACATATCCTACATTTGCTTTCGACGTTTGCGCACCAATCTTGCGATTCCATTGGGTTCCCTTTCGACATTGCATGCCTCTCTGCAGGGCACTGTCTCTGCCTGGCTTTACTTTGAGCCTGGAGATTCTCAGCCATTTCACTAACTTGCAATATGTGTACGCATCGGTCCGTTTCACCATTGCTCCTTCTCGCTCCGAAAGGCATGCTCGCATTACATTGTCAAACATCATTCTGTCCGCTCCCATCGCTCTCTCCCACATGTGAGCTGTGCCTACCCCACCCACTTGGTTACATGGCACATGACAGAGATCTGCGCTACACTGCCTTCAGTGGACCCATTCCTGAATCCATCGGCAATGCCACGGATCTTCAGTACCTGTAAGAGGGGGGTCTGGTGCCAGGGCATGGAGGGGGGCGTGCAGCTGCTCCCAGCATATGTTTTGCATTTGCTGACGGGGGCAGTTCGTATCGCAACTTTTTCGATACAAAATTTCGAGATAGGGTCTCAACTGTTTCCCTGCCACTGCATATCCTCTCCTGTTAACACGTGCTTCTGTGCACCGATTCGTACGCATCCCATCCCAGTGATCTCTCAGGCCTGGCTGTCAGTGGAAGTCTCCCTTGCAGCTTCAGTCGCCTCACTGCACTCGAATTCCTGTACCTCCCACCTCTCCTTCCTGAAAAGTCCCTTTCTCCTAAAAACCCCTTCTCTCCTTCCTAATCCTTTCACATCTTCTTCCCAAATTTCCATCCTCTCTTTCCTTGAACCCACCCCTCCCCCCTCCCCGCCCCTCTCTTCTTCCGCCGCCTAGCTGGCAAGCGCATCAATTACAGCTCGTGTTGGCACGTGATTTATGCGCATTGCTTATGCCTGCATTTCCCAGCCAGCCCCTTCTCCTCGTTCTTTCATGCCGCACCAGTCAGTTGCTACCATGTACATACATCCTTCCCACGAGTTCCCATTCCCTCCATGCACTGACCCCAGCATGCAGGCACATTGGGAGGCCTCAGTCGTTGGTCCCCTTTCCTTATCCAAACGATAGTGGCAACATAGCAGAGCGAGGCTGATGGGGATGACTTGGGGCTGTTGTTGTTGGCTGCTATGTTGGAATTGACGCGTCAAGCGTCTTTGACGCTAGCGTCAAAACGCTAGCGTCCGGACGCTTGACGCACAATCCTGATTCTTTTGACGCAGTTTTGACGCTCTGGCGGGCAGCCGAAAAAACCCTTCGGGCAGCAATAGAAACGTATAAGGGGGGAGGGAGGGGAGTGGTAAGGCGAAAGTTAAGGGGTAATAGGAGTGGAACGGCGATTTAACTCCGTAGGAACAGGATAGTCGATCTAACCCTAATTTCTGTCGAGTAGCTTGCAAAGGAGAGAGTGACGACCTGGATTGGCGTTACTGATTTTTGTCAACTTCAGTTTGTTGGATTTTCTAGTTGCATTGCGGTACAATGTGGTGTGGGGGATGTTTTTGTGTTTCTGTTTTGTGAGGGGTGTTCAATGTCGACTTGACATTCGAAGTCACGATTTTGAATCGAAGTCGCGATTTCGAAGCTAAGTCGCGAATGATTTTTTTTCCGCACGATTTCGGGCTGCCCGAAATATTTTTGACCAGCGTCAAGCGTCAAAACGCGCGTCAAGCGTTTTGCGTCAAAACGCTAGCGTCAAAACGCTTGACACAACCCCTCCAGAGCGTCAATTCCAACATAGGTTGGCTGGTGCATGCCATGCTGCATGATGTGTGCAAATCGCCACTAACATATTTACAGTTTAATATGGCTACGGAAGAGTGCAGCTGATGCTTGGGATGCTCCAGGAAAGCACCTTCTGGAGCAGGGCACAGTGCAGCAGGGCAGCTCATCTCATGGGACAGCGCCAGCATTGTGTTCGGCCGTCAGCTCACATGCCTCCTTCCTTGCCACACCTCAGTGCCCTTTATTCTCCAAGCTTCTCAATCGCACGTTCTCACTACTCCATGCACCCACGCACATGGGGTCTCTGCTCTACCCCCTGCTGCTGTGACTGCTGGTGCTCTAGCCCCCGTGCAACTACTGCTGCTGTGGCTCTCTCTCACGCTGTATGCAATCGCAGCCCACAGAAAGTTGACAAGTCGTCTCCCTCCCATCTGCTGTTTGTCTCTCTTGATTCTTTGCAGCATTCCCTTGATCCAGTCGTTCTTGAGTCCCCCTGTGATGCAAGGCTCCATGGACGACCTCTCGTGTCTCGCCCCACTCACTCGCCTCAAGGACCTGTACGCTGCGCATCTTCCCTACCCGCTTTTCCCTTTCCCACGTCTACCTCATCCGTGCCCGCCTTCATCCCCCCCCTCCCCCCCCATCCCCCCCCCCCCTCCTCCCCGCCCCACCCCCTTCCTCTCACTCATCTCTGCCCACCATCCCCTCCCCTCTCACCCATCCATACCCACCTTCAACTTCCTCTTACTCATGCCTGCCCACCTTCCCCTCCCCTCTCACTCATCCCTACTTGCCTTCCCCTCCCCTCTCACTCATCCCTACCTGCCTTCCTCTCCCCTTTCACTCACCCCTACCTGCCTTCCGCTCCCCTCTCACTCATCCCTACCCGCCCATCTCCTCTTACTCTGCCAAGGCTGCTCCTATTCACTGTGCAATGGTCAGTCCAGCAGCATAGTGTATGGAATCTGGTCTCCTTGCAATCCGCAGCATGCTTCTAAGTTGCTCTCCGCCGGCTGCTGTCCCCCTCTCTCCCATTTTCCACACGGCACTTGCCCGTGCTTCAGTGGCAACACCCCACTTACTCATATTCTCTCTGCTCACAACTTTCGTGCGTCCACTTGACCATGGTCTTTTATCCTCTCTCTTGTACCTTTTAGACATCTCACCATAAATCACTTTTATCATGTGGCTATACCTCTCTGTATGTTATACCCACTTCTCCTCAGCGCTCTCACGAGACTCAACCTGACTGCCGGAGAGCTCCCTTCCTCTTTCTCCGCCTTTACTTTATTCTCCCGCCTGTAAGTCTTTCGAGTATCTTCCTTCCTGCTCCCACGCTTTATGCATCATTAAAGTAACTACCGAAGCAAACGATGATTTCGGTGTCATTCTCAATGTGCTCTTGGTGAGCACATTGCATATCATAAGCATATCAAGGGCATGTGCCTGCTCGTTGCATGCATTGTATATCATAAGCGCATTGCATCTCATAAGCGCATTGCATCTCCTAGTTGCCTGAGCCGATATAGATGAAGCAAACAGAATTCTCTCTCATGGACACATACGCACTATCACTGAATAATCAAGACATCTCATGGTTGATCCGGCAGGGCAGCAGGAGATAATTGCTTGGGGGTGCAGTGACAGCAGTCGCTGCATTGCACTGCCACTGTCCACCACACCTGTCTCTCACCTCCCTCTACACTCTGTGGAGTGACCTGAGTTTCCTTCCCATGACCCGCTTACCGCAATGGATCGGTTCACTCGCCAAACTCGAGTATCTGTGAGTGGAAGGAACCCTCGCCCCTCGCCGCACCCGGCCACGAATCTAGTAAGCATTTCCTGGCATTTGCAACACCGGCGTCACCTGCGACCCGCTACAGTCTCGCCACTTACTTTGCTTGCCTTGTCGCTGCCCAACCGTTGCCAAAGATTGTTACAACCCGCTCATCCTCGCTCCCTTGGCTATTTCTAACTGACCTGTGCCGCTTTGGATCAAGCGCTTCCCTCTGCTATCTTTACTGTGCTAACCTGGATTGGGCCACACATGGCTCATGGCAGAGTCAGCCAGGGCTGTGCATGATGGTCAGATGTACGTTGATGCCACTTGCATGGCTTCCCACCCATGCCTCTCCACTGATTGGAGTGCTCCGTACCTCCCCCACCCTCCTGCCCTTGACCGCGCAGGGACGTCACCGGCAACTTTAGCGTCCACCGCTCTGCACCGTTCCCCACTGAATGGACAGCGCTCACAGGGCTGCACCATCTGTGAGGCATCCACCATGTTGGTTTGAGACCCTGTGCTGCTCAGCTCACCGCTCAAAGCCCTCCGTTGTTGATTATATCGCCCTCCAAGAAGCACCGCGTCCACCCTTCCCCTGCCCTTCCATCTTCATATTGCCAAGTGGGCCACTCGACCCAACGTCCTTACCCGCCAGGCACAAGTGCGTATGCCTGTTCTCTCTCCCCTCTCATTCCACCAACAGGGCGGCTGGTCTGAATGGCTTCACCGGATCTATCCCCTCCACCATCTCCACCCTCACCGCCCTCAATGAATTGTACGCCTCCGCTTCCATCCACTCTCGCCTCCCTCGCAAACCTCACTGACCTGTACACATCAACTTCCCACCCGTCTCCTCTTCCTTCATCTATCCCCGTCCTTCCACGGGAACCTTTTGAGATATGGAGGGATGTAAAACGATACGCCAAAGTAGACATGAGCAAAAATCCGAACGCGTGTTCGGTTCGTCCGAACATGTCCGAACCGAACCGAACATGTTTTTTGGCCACAAATGTTCGGCCGAACATGTTTGATGTTCGGCCGAACATGTTCGATGTTCGGAAGGGGGGGAGGGAGGCCACGGGGGAGGAGCTGGCCCACTGAAAACACACTCTCGAACCTCGAACATGTTCGGGTTCGCCCCGAACATTGCAGCGTTTGCCCCCTTATCACGAACACCGAAAACCAAAAATCACCAAAACATGTTCGGGCGAACCGAACATGTTCGGTTCGCCTACAAGACATGTTTGTGGAGGTTCGGGCGAACATGTTCGGTGTTCGCCCGTTGCTCATGTCTACTCCAAAGCACCAGGCTGTGAGGACCGCGGTCTTGCACCAGCTAGACAAAGGACTGTGGACAAAGCTCTTCCTGTGGCCGTTTCCCATACCGCAGCACCATCTTCTCCCCCCTCCTCCTTCGCAATCACCGCAGGCAGCTCAATTTCAACAACATCTCAGGGAGCATCCCTGTCAGCATCACGAGCCTCCTTAACCTGCAAGACCTGTGAGACCTGATTATTCACCTTACCCATGCCTTCTGACCCAAATCAACGTGCCGACATAATTTATTTGGGTTGATTCTAGGCGAATTAGTTCCAGGCAATCCAAGGTTTGGTACTTTGCTCATGTGTGTATTGTCGTATCAGGCCCCTAACCTTTCAACCTTGTCTTGTCTTATTTCTCAGCTCTCTCAAATTCGTTTTCCAGTTAACGAATCATGTTTCTATCTGTGAATGCTGGCTCTTTCGTTGTGTCATAGTAATGGAGCCAGTCCATCTTAAGCCGTGTTTGTAAAAGCTATGGTGATGATAAGCTGTCGCAACAACACAAGCACCCATTCATATAATGCCTCTCCCTTGTACACATTGACTACACTGTACAAAGTCGCTGCATTGCACTGCCAGTCTATCCGCAATTCACGTGCATGCCTTGGCCTCTCCCCCACGCGTGCCTGCCTATACACAACACAGGAGGCTCTCCTTCAACAATCTCACCGGCGCCGTTCCTGCCATCACTAGCTCAAACCTTGATATCTTGTGAGTCTCCAAAGCTTGCCTCGCCTGGCATGCGCTTATGAGTGGCTTGGCTTGGATCGCAACACACCTCCGTGTGGCACCTCGCATGATTAGTGTCAACCAATCGGAATCAGGTGCTGGAGTCTACTGGACGGACTCTCTCAGCAGCTTTCTACTCGAGCAACACCCCTTCCGATCTTCCTGCTGCTACTTCAGCAAGGTATGGATTCTCGTTTTATTAGGCGCTTTTTTTCTGTCTTCCCAACAGCCTAATATTGGTGCGGACCATACTGTTGTATGTTTTGTGAAGCCTCAAATGTTCTGCCCAAACCGACTCCACCCTGTCATGACAATACTTCCTGGTCCTTTGTTTCACAATACCAGAGCTGTTGCAGACCGCACAATTCCCTGGAGAGTGACACAGAAGCATTCCCCCCTCTATCTCAGCGTAAATGTCCCCACATCCCCTCCACTGCCCTCCACTCCACATCCCCTCCCCTCTGCCGGCTCTCACTGCCTGCCCTCCCTGCGTGCAGAGACCTCTCCCACAATCACCTCAGCACCCTGCCTACTTCCATGAATACGGGGGAAATGTGAGTCCTGTGTGTTTGAGATCTCATGGACGTGAGCGAGCGAGAGGGAGGTGGAGAGGGGGAAGGGGGGTAGAGAGGGGGAAGGGGGGTAGAGGAGGGGAAGGGAAGTAGAGCGGGGGAAGGGGGGTAGAGAGGGGGAAGGGTGGTAGATGGAGGGAAGGGGGGTAGAGGGGGGAAGGGGGGTAGAGGGGGGGAAGGGGGTAGAGCGGGGAAGACATGACTCTGCAAAGGAACTCACCACGCTCTTGGCTATGACGAGTGCAGCCTGGCCTGGGATGAGAGTGGGGTTCACATCACAGTGCACGAGGAGACAACCTGATGGTACCTGATTCCTGTCTCTCCCTTCTAATATTTTCTGATCGTCTCCGCTCATCTCGTCTCATCTCCTCGATAGGAACACGAAGTTATGCCTATATAACAGGGGCTTGATTCACTCTCAGTTTGAACCTGCAAGTCAAATAGCTCGATTCAAGTTACCCTAACTTACTCACAGGTTCAGATCGAGTCATGAGGTATGACGCAACTGGACTCAACACATGCTCATGTCTCCCTTGCGTTCCATGTGCTTGCCACGTCATGGTTTTATGAGAACGTCCCATATTCAAGCTACTGTCAACACACATAAAAAACTGGGTTGACAAGGCTTGAAGCACCATGGTTAATAAGAAAATGCTTTCGTCCCACTTGACACTTTTCAGACATTTAAGCCACAACGACTTCAGGGGATCCATGCCTGCCAGATTGTCCGCCTATGTCATGTGAGTTGTGCCCCATGCCACCTGCATGTCACGCACACGTGTTGGAAGGGGGGAGGAGTGGGGGGTGATTGACAATCGAGAAAGGTTAAATGAGCCCACGATATTTGCCCACGGGTCATTACAATGAACTCTAAGCATTCGTCGTTGACATTTCCCGGGTGTGTGGACATCTGCCGTACTGGTTACAAAAGTGTTTCTCTCCTTAGCGGGTAAATGGTCCAGCGCTCTGAAGTACTCTTGCCGTGCCGGGTATAAAATCCTTTTCACGCAGTCTTTGTGCGGAATCATGCCTTAAGTACAGCCAAGACGAGGCAGGTCAAGGTAGCTGTTTCCCACACCCACTCAGCTGCCAAAGTGGGTGGGGCGGGGTCTATCACATGCTCAAGCAGCTAACAGGCTCGCATTTCTGCAGCACGATCAACCAATGATGGCAGAATCGGTCGAGCGTAAACTTGATGCTGACAAGTCGCCTGCAAGGCAGCTGCTAGAGTTTTGAATAATGGTAGCCAGGTGCGTCAAACGCCGGAGGCGAAGCTGACATGCTCTGCCCGGTTGATCTAGTGTTTTGCTTTCCTTGCTGCTACCTTGTTGGGAGCCCATCCATGCACCTTTGCCACCCTTGGTTTGATCCCTGGTGCTGGTTGGGTGTGTGACGATCATGTCTGCGACACCGAGTGCTCCTGACATCCAGTCTCGGAAGCTGCGGTGGGCAGTGTGGTTGTGGATGGGGGCAGAAGAGAGTCGGCTCCTTGTGGCTGAAGCCTACATCTGCACCTCGTGGCTCTCACCTCGATGCTCTCTCCTGGAGAGACTCGTTGCCCAGCCCAGTGGCATCCGAGTATCTGGCTGGGGGGCTGCTTGTTAGAGAACCCCGCTTGTGGCATAGAAAAGCCTGAGAGAAGGGCCTTGCCAACAACCTTCTCTGCACACTTAGGTAGGAAGAGACAGAGAGAAGGGGATGGGTATGGGCGGCATAGATTTGAAAGAGCTTTAAAAGTTCGGTCACTGGCATTAGGTTTGAAAGCGCTTTAAAAGTAGGTCTTTGATACTGGAGAATTCTAAGCCCGAGGCCAGGTCAGGGCTGACCCGACCCTTCTTCCTCCTGGTCGGGTCAGGAAGATTTGTCTTGACCCGAGGTCTGACCTGACCCAACCCGACCCGGAAACCGGCCTGGCCCGGCCAGGTTGGGTCGGGTCGGGTCGAGTCGGTCCCTCTGCTCATGCCTAAGTCACGGCCAATGCCTGCAGGTTGGAGGGGAGCAGTTATGGTTGAGTGTTGGCTCTGAAGAACGACAGGGGTTTTTGAAAGGGAGACAAGGGTGCCAAGACTGGACAGGGCTCAGCCCGTACAATTCCCCCCCTTCAACGGGGGTTTCCTTCTTCAACGGGGCTGGGAAGCAAAGGCAGAATCACCACTACACGCACCACGACAGCGGGCTATAGTATGGGTGCAGTCAGGACGGAACGCACCAGTAAACTCTGGGCTGGGCCACTGGTGTCTACTGCTGTGCAGCATCAGAAACTGGCTGCTGCTGGTCCTTGAGCTGTGCAGTTTCGAGAAAAGGTCGTCTTGTCGCTTGATGCTCCACGTATGTGTCACTTTCCTCGGACACTGCTGAAATTGCTTTATGACTCACTCACTCTATCCCCCACACTTGTTCTCCTACCACTCATGGTTAGGCCCCTCTCTCATGTACACCTGTTGCCCACACCCATTACGCAATGCGTGCAGTACAGCCGAGGGTTTGCGTGACAACCACGGCCAGGCGCTTCCTCCCGTCTTTCCATTCATCGCACTGCATGCCTCTCCCTCTATTCCATTGCCCTCATCAACAGTGCTTTCTTGCCATGCTTACCATCTCTCATGCCCTCTACAGAGACCTCAGCTACAATTCTCTTAGTGCAGGCTTGGATGGGCTCTTAAGAACGCCCTTGACTGAATATAATGATTCAGTAGAGTGAGTGACACCTTGTTGTACATCATCACGTGAATGAGCAATGGTTGGATCGGATGTTAAAGGTTTCATGTTATATATCACGGCACTTTTTGTATTGCTCCTCTCGTTTGCTTCGTCATCAATAATATTTTTTATATAGCTTTGTGTTTCGACCTTCATTCTACCCTCCTGACCTCTAGGCCCTTTCCACAAACCATTCATCTTTTTGTCCCCCCACCCTCTCCCCTCTCCCCCTTCTCTCCTCCCCACCCTCCAACCCTTCTTTCATCGACTGATCCTCAGGTTGTATTTTGCATCATGCAATTTCTCTGGCCCGTTTCCTTCCTACTCAGATGTGCCAATTTCTGGGCTGTAAGCTTCTCATGAATACATATGAGTACATGTTGCACAAAGTCTCAACGTAACTCATTGATGCCTGTGTGGGGTACAAGTTTCTGCATTCCTAAGTATAACTCAGGTTTTCTGTTCACTTAGTGACTTTGTCAGACACCAATGTGGTTTGAGCTACACATGATTGGGATTTTGTGTTATAGTCACAAGAGGCTTGAATGTGCCTAAAACGAAAGATAGAGAGCACAGACGGATTTCTGCACAGCGGCTTCAAACGTTGATAACGTTCTTCTCACAGCTGCAAATGACTTGATTCAAATTGGATCTGGAGCGTCTTCACGTCGTCTACAATTATCAATTTAGATTGCACGATTTGATAAAGAATTGACGACACAGCGTCGGTTTGAACGAACGGTACTATGGCAGCCACTATAGTCTTAGAACACAAGATAGGAAGAGTTACGAGTTGGGAATGACTCCCAGCTCCTACAAACCCCAAGAGCCGAGGTACAGTGATGTGGAACAGTGCCACACTGTCCCCAACCACGAAGGGTCTCGAAACTACCCTTCACTAGGGCCTACACCAAGTGAAATGTTACACTACACAAAGTAATGTAACTATCTTCAATATCTTGAGGTGTACCCTTTTGGCGAGCTTCGAAATCACTTGAGGCTTGACACCAAGGCTCGGGCTCTTCATCACAAACTCATCCTTGAGTTCTTGATGGGTCTGCTGCACACACCTGCGACACGCCGAACGTTCGACACAGGACAAAATAGAAACCGCGCACGACAAAATAGAAACCGCGCGCGAGACACAAACGACCGCGTAACACGCGTCTAGCGATAACTCGCTATTGACTCGACACACACACTCGACATCATGACTCAACATTCACACACAATTATAAGCATGAAATATATATTATCCCATGCCCTCATACCATTCCATACACACACACATTCACGCACACGGACAACAAGCCGAGTGCAAACCGTAGGGTTGCACCAACATTTTGATCCCGCTTTTCTGCTACTAGAACCAATATATACTTAACTGCAACTTCTTCCACTTCATTTTCTGCATTTGTGCATTTGTGTGGTAAAGAGATATACCACAAATATCTTAGGTGGCTCCTACATTGTGAACTGGCAAGATCTAATCAGTTGGCAAATGATTTTTCCGTGACTTGCTGATACACCAATTTCACCCATTCCACAGTTTCTCCTTATACTCCCCCTTTTTTCCTTTATTTTTTAACCCTCCCATCCTTTTTCCTTCACCATCTCTCCAGTTTTTATGCATCAGTGCTCACCTTCCCTTTATGCCTCTGCACTACAGCGACGTGTCTAACAACAGCTTCGCTGGACCGTTCCCCTCCACTCTCTTCAAACAGATTGAATGGGATTCTCCTAAAACCATGTAACCCGTTCTCAATCTTGCTTTGCGGACCTCGTCTTTCCGTATCACGCATTTGTTCCTCCACATGCAGATAACATGTTGCCATCTGCATCCAAGCCACTCATTTCATTGCATCCAAGCCACTCATTTCATTGCATCCAAGTCACTCATTTCATTTCATCCAAGCCACTAATTTCATTGCATCCAAGCCACTCATTTCATTGCATCCAAGACACTCATTTCATTGCATCCAAGCCACTCATTTCATTGCATCCAAGCCACTCATTTCATTGCAACCAAGCCACTCATTTCATTGCATCCAAGCCACTAATTGCATTGCATCCAAGCCACTCATTTCATTGCATCCAAGCCACTCACTTCATTGCATCCAAGCCACTCATTTCATTGCGTCCGAGCCACTCATTTCATTGCATCCAAGCCACTCATTTCATTGCATCCAAGACACTCATTTCATTGCATCCAAGCCACTCATTTCATTGCATCCAATCCACTCATTTCATTGCAACCAAGCCTCTCATTTTATTGCATCCAAGCCACTCATTTCATTGCATCCAAGCCACTCGTTTCATTGCATCCAAGACACTCATTTCATTGCATCCAAGCCACTCATGTCATTGCATCCGAGCCATTCATTTCATTGCATCCAAGGCACTCATTTGATTGCATCCAAGCCACTCATTTCATTGCATCCTAGCCATACCCTTCATTGCATCCAAGCCATGCCCTTTATGCGTGCAGCAACCTCGCACACAACAACTTCACGGGACCCCTTTGACCAAAAATAGCTGGCTGGATGTTTCTGGAAAAGTTGTAAGTGGTATAGGCATACCTGGCCATACATTGTTTGAAATCACATGGCCGCTCCTCCTAAACACCTGTATCATTTCCTTGCCAATGCTGCTCTATGCCAACAGCAACGTTTCCCACAACCGCTTCTCTGGCGTTGTTCCTCGCGGCTTCTGGACAATGGGGTCCCTCGAGATCCTGTGAGTTCGTAACGTCTTCGTAAGTGCCACCACGCATCCCATGAGCTCCTCGAGGTATGAGAAAGGAAAGGAGCTGCACATGAAGAAGGTAAGCCGCTGCTTATGGGCTGCAAAACTGTGTCTCCACCCTCAGGTGCTGCCACGCAAAGCCTTTTGCGTTATGACAAAGCCAATGCCAACCAGGAGTCAGTAAGGAGGGAGACTAGCCGGTAAGGAGGGAGACAATTCAGTAAGGAGGGAGACTAGTCAGTAAGGTAAGGAGGGAGGCTAGTCGGTAAGGTGGGAGACTAGTCAGTAAGGAGGGAGAGGTAAGGAAGGAGACAAGTTGGTAAGGAGGGAGTCTAGCCGGTAAGGAGGGAGACTAGCCAGTAAAGAGGGAGACTAGTCGGTAAAGAGGGAGACTAGTCAGTAAGGAGGGAGGCTAGTCGGTAAGGAGAGAGACTCGTATATGCATTCATAAGGAAGTGAAAAGCAAGGGAGTCTTATGAGTGCATTCGCACCCACTTGTGAGGTGCTGGTGATGGTACTATTGGTGCCATATGTGATTGGACTAACCAACAAGTTGTTATTTACGTTTAAAGTGCGGAGATAACTACTACAACGGGAGCTAGACTACGGGCTAGGCACGGTTGCTCATGTGATCTCTGCGTTCGTTGTTCCTTAGTCGTTTTCCTAGTGCACACACTGCTTGCTAGATCACGGGGTAATTTTGGCAAGAGTTTCACTAGAGAAGGTTGACAATAATGGTACGATGAAGTTGGCATGGCAAGACTACATCCGGGCTAGCATTCAGGTCGGTCGACTGCCAGCGCAGAATGGTCGACCGCGTTCCAGCACGACTTGGTCGACCGCGCTCCAGCAGTGCAAAGTCGACGGCGTGCCAACGCTGCAGGTTGACGGCGTGCCAGCGTAACTCCCGCAGTACAGCATCGCACCAGCTTCGCAGGTTCTCGCATATGATTGGCGTGCGGAGCCTAGTCACCTACACAGCACACACACCAAGTCAACCTGGCGCTAATGACTGCATCTGATCAGCCACGTCGACCTCGGGATACCACCACCGCGGTCGGACTCGCCAACTTCGCCTGGGCGACCGTCGCACTCTTCCGCAGAACCTCGTCACCCAGGTAACCTGGTCGACCGGGCAACCACGTCGACCAGCTGCTCCTGTATGTGCCCGTCGACCTCCCAAGTCGACGACCACCCCAAGTCGACCTCACCAGGTCGACCACGCCCCTGGTCGACCAGTTCCACGTCGACCAGCACTCCTGGTCAACCAGCTCCATGTCGACCAGCGCAGTTGTCAGCCGACCACCCAAGTCGGCTACCCAAAGTCGGCGTCACCAAGTTGAAGCCCTACTACTCGACGCCCAGCTGCTCGGCGTCCTGAGTCGTGGTCGACGTCGGCCCCTCCTCCGTCGACTACCAGGTCAGGTCGACCACCAGGTCGACATCACGCCTGGTCGACCAACCACCAAGTCGACCAGCAGGCCTGGTCGACCAACTACCGGGTCGACCAGCAATCCTGTCAGCCGACAACCCAAGTCGGCTGCCCCAAGTTGGCGTCACCAAGTCGACGCCCTCTGCAGGTCGACTTCCCAGATCGACCTCCCCGTGCAGTGGCCCCCGTGCAGGTCGACCTCCTCATCAACCAGCTCGCCCACTGCTGCAGGTCGGCTGCTCCCCTCACACCCGACCACGAAGTCGGCTCCGCCCAAGCAAGGACGGGGCCAGCACACAACTCCTGTTGACACTCCCCTGCCGCGTTCACGCTTGGGCCCCCAGCCAACACGGCAGTACTCCTCGGAGAATAGCTCGTCGACGTGCACCCAACACACAACACGTCGTCCACCGCACCAGCCATTCAAGCGGGCATGGCACCTACTGCTGCACGTCGTCAACTTCGTCGCCCACGTCGGCCAAGCGCACCTGGCCGATGGCGATGGAGCACCGGTTGAAGGCCGGATAGTGCAGTGCCTTCATCAAGAAGTCGGCCGGCTGCTCAGCGGTCGGGATGTACTTCAGTGAAAACTTCCCGTGCTTCACCATGTGCTGCAGCCAGGCCTGTCGCCGTTCCATGTGCTTGAGGTTGCCCGTCAACCCCATGCCATCGGCGACTGTGATGGCCGACTTGTTGTCCACCCGGAGGACGGTCGGCTTCCCAGCATCCAGCTGCAGGAACTCTGCGAGGAGGTAGCGAAGTTGGCGTCCCTCCTTGCCGGCTTTAGTGACCGCCACATACTCCGACTCGGTCGACGACAACGTCGCGCACTTGATGCGCTGGCTCGACCAGGAGACTGCGGCCCCTCCGTAGCAAACACGTAGCCGCCCGTGCTCGTCCTGTTCTGCTTGTCACCGGCGTCGTCAGCGTCCACACAGCCGACCAGCTCCAGCGACTCAGGTCCACCGCCGAACTCCAGGGCGGTGTCACGCGTGTTGGTGAGGTAGGCAAGGCAGCGGTCGACCTCGCGCCAGTACTGGTCGCTCCTCACCGTGAGGCCGCTCCCCAGCTTGCTGCAGGCGAAGGCGATGTCCGGCCTCGTCGTCGTCGCCGCGAACTGCATCGAGCCGACCTTCTGCCGGTACTCCTCCTCCTGTCGCTCCTGTGCCTCCTCGTCGTCGAAGGTGAGCTCGGCGTAGGCGTCGACCGAGACCGGCGTCTTCGGGGTGCGCCCGGTCTGCTCCTCGTCGATGAAGCGCCTACGCAGCTTGTCGGCGTAGCCCTGCTGGTGCAGCCACAGCTTCCCCGCCGACCTGTCGTGGACGATCTCCAGCCCGAGGTACTTCTGCACCGGCGAGATCTCACGCAGCTCGAAGGCGGACTCCAGCAGCTCCTTCAGCTCCTTCAACATCTCGGTGCTGCTGCTGGCGGCGAGCGAGTCGTCGACGTAGACCAGCACCCAGCAGGCCACTCCGTCGTCGCCGACCTTGAAGTGCAGAGCCTCGTCGACCTGGCTCTTCTTCCACTCGGAGCCAACCAGCACGTCGTTGAGCGCCAAGTACCACAGCAGCGGCGACTGCTTCAGCCCGTACAGGCTCTTCAGCAGCTTGCACACCCGGCCGGTTCCGTCGTTGAAGTAGTCCGGCTGGGACATGTAGAGCACCCGGACGAGCTTGTTCTGCAGGAAGGCGTTCTTCATGTCGAGCTGCATCAGGTTGAGGTTGAGGACGGCGACGATGCTGAGGAAGATCCTCAGCGTGACGTAGCTGCCCACCGGCGCGAACGTCTCGTCGTAGTCGGCGCCATACACCTGGGTGAAGCCCTTCACGACCAGCCTCGCCTTCTCGCGCTCGACGGTGTCGTCGACGTGGTACTTCGTCGTCAACACCCACCGGTTCTTCATGATGTTCACTCCCGGCGGGCGTTCGACCAGCTCCCAAGTGCCCATGTTGATGAGGCTGCGGATCTCCTCCTCCATTGCGGCCTTCACCGCCGGGCCCTTCCAGCTTGCCAACGCCTCCTTCACCGTCATCGTCGAGATGTCCCAACAGTGCTCAGGGTCGGCATGCAAGTCGGGGTCGAGCTCCGGGAACTCCTCATCCTCCTCGGCGTTGTCGTACGCCAGGTCATCGTCGTCCACGTCGTACACCGTGGTGAAGGCAGCAGGGACGAAGAAGTCGGGTGGCCTCCGAAGTCGGCCTGACTTCCGGGGTTCAGGCGGAACCTCCACCACGCCACTCTTGGTTGACTCCTCGGCGTCCTCCTCCCCCTCGTCGTCCTGCTGCAACTCAGTCGACTTCCTGGCCGACTTCTCCCCTGTGGTCGGCTCCCCTGCCGATTGCCCGGTTGCCGACTGCTCCGTGGTCGGCTTTACTGCTGCCTGCTCCCCTGTCGGCTGCTTCTCCTCGACTTGCTTCTCCTCGACTTGCTCCTCCCCTATCAGGTCGACTTGCCGCTTGTCACGTCGGCCACCGGCGATGCCCGTGGTCGTCGCCGAAGGCGACGGCCCACTAATCCCCTCATTGCCGGAGGCCGACACCGAGGTCAGCCCGCGCAGGTCGGCCAGGAGCGGAGGGGCAGGGGTCGTAGAGGGAGGGGAAGGAGGTCGGACGTCCTCGACGTCCTCAGCAGCAAGCTCACCGACCTCGGCGAGCAGAGGCAGCGTCGCCGTCGAGGTATCGGTCGGTGGGGTGGTCGGCGTTCGCCCGTGCACCGGCCCGTGCTCCGACTTCCACACCTCCATCGACATGTCTTCGTAGAACACCACGTCCGACGTGGTCGCCACCCGGTTGGCGTCGACATCGAGGAGCTCCCAGCCCTTGCTCGCCGCCGACACACCAAGGTGAAGGCCCCACCTGGCCTTCGGTTTCAGCTTCCCACCACGCTGCTGCTCGGGGACAAGGAACTGCGCCATGCAGCCCCACACCCGCGCCAGCGACAAGTCGGGCTTCGTCCCGGTGAGGAGCTGGTACGGTGTCGTCCCCGGCGGCAGCGTCGACCGCTCAAGGCAGTTGCAGACCCAGACAGCCTGCCGCAGAGCGAGGTGCCACTAGTGGTGCTGCACGCCCATGTGCAGCAGCATCGTCCGCACCGACTCCACCACCATCCTCATCTCCCGCTCGGCCATGCCGTTCTGCTATGGGGTGTACGGGCAGGTAAGGTCGTGGACGATCTCCTTGCCGTCCACGAAATCCCGAGGAACTCCCCTCCTCGGTCGGAGCGAAGCATCAGCACCGACTTCGTCGTCTGCCTCTCCACCAACACCAGCCACTTTTGGAACTCCAGCAGGACATCCGACTTCTTGGCGACCGGCCTCACCCACACGTAGCGGGTCTTGCGGTCCTTTAGCAGCAAGAAGTACAAGCTGCCGTCCTTGGCAGCCACGCGGAACGGCCCGCACATGTCGATGTGCACGACGGCCAGCACATCGTCGGCGTCGGAGCCTTGGTCGGGGAAGGTGTGCCGCGCCAGCTTCCCGCCGACGCACGAGACGCACGGTGAGTCGGCCCCCGTTGTCGACTTGAGGTCCAGCCCAATGGCGACCTCGTTCTTCGCCGAGCTCCGTATGGTGTCCATGCCGACGTGCGCAAACCTCGCATGCATCCTGTCCGGCGTCGACTTCGTCTTCGAGACGATCACCCGCAGGGCCACAACCTCCGGCGTGGTCGACGTCGACCTCGTTGAGCAGGGACGCAGGTCGGTGCAGAGGACACGCCCGGAGTACGTCGCCCGACCGAGCACCTCTCCCGCTGCCGAGACGAGCAGCATCCCGTCGCCGTCCTCCTGCAGCTTCACGCCGTGCTCCTTCAGCTGGCCGGACGACAGCAGGTTGGCCCACACACCTGGGACATATAGTACATCAGGGATGAGCACCTGCTTCCCGGCCTCTCCCTGCAGGGCGACGGTGCCACGGCCCTGGATATCCTGCAGCGCCCCATTGAAGCCGCGCACGTGCTTGATGGAGCCGCTCGGCTGCAGGCCGACGAAGACTTCCTTCGTCCCCATCAGGTGGTGGGAGCAGCCGCTGTCGAGCAGGACCACCGCCGGGTTTGCCTGCACAGCTGCCGCCACCGCCTGGAAGTCCTCTCCGGCCTCCGGTGCCAGCGAGACGGTCGGCTCCACGACGCCGACCAGCGAGCACGACGCCGTCTTGTGGTCCCGCACCTTGCCGCCAGCAGAGGAGTCGGCGTCCTTCGCCGAGGTCGACGTCGTCGACTGCTTCTCCTTGCGCGGCTTGTTTCATCCTCGACGAGGACGACGACTGCCAGACCTCCCGCGGCCTCCCTTGGCGTCGTCGTCGTCGGATTCACTGCGGTCGGGGCACTCGAAGGAGAGGTGGTCGGGGTCGCCGCACAGCCAGCACTCCCGACGTCGACTTCCTCTTCCTCGACCGCTGTCCTTGGTCGACTTCTTCTTGTCGACTTCCTAGGTCGACTTCCAGCCACTGCTACCTCCGCCGCCAGACTGTCCGCGCTGCCCCGGTCGGCCTCCTTGCTTCGCCGGGGCGGCGAAGTTGGCCTGCGCCAAGAGCTCTTGTGACCGCTCTGCCTCCTGCATCGCCTCGTCCTGCAGGATGTACGAGGTCAAGTTGTCCTCTTTGAGCGTCGTCCTCGTGCTCGGCGCCATCGACAGCCGCTTCAGGATGTTGAAGCTGCTCGAGAGTCCCTGCTTGACGTGGTTGACGTACGACACCGTCGAGTACTATGCGCCGGCCATCCTGATGGTGGCGAGAATTCGCCGGGCTCGGTTGCAGTAGTCGGTCGTCGTCTCCTCGTCACCCATACGCAGGTGCGTCAGCTGCCCCTCCAGCTGGGAGATGAACAAGTCGTCGGTGACTTGGTAGGTCGACTCAATGAAGTGCCACGCCCGGTGGCCGGTGTCGAGGTACTCTCGGCACCACTTCAAGGCGATCTGCACGCCCGGCGAGCAGCACCGCGAGATGACCATGAAGGTCAACAGCTGCACGGCGCGAAACTCCACACGTAGGTCGGGGTCGTCCGGCGTCACCACGGATCCTCAGGCAAAGTTGATCAGCCCGGCCATCTCCAGCTGGGGCTCGATGGCTTCCTTCCAGGTGAGGATGTCCTGTCGACCAACGAGCGGCGGGGTGACCAAGATCCTGTCCGGCGCAAACTTGAAGTAGCCGTAGCTCGGTGCAATCCCACCCGCCGTCACCTGGGTCGCCGACATCGGCGACAAACCGCTTCGTCGTCCTCCGACGTCGCCCTGCGAGGAGCCTGCAGCCGCCGACGACTGCACCTCTCGCGCCTGAACGCCACCGACTTCATCGGCGTGAATCACACCACGCTGCCTCGACGTGCCTCCCGCACTGCTGCCGACTTGGTAACCTCCGGCGTCGACGCCCACGTCGACGCCGCCTTCGTTGGTCACCGGTCGAGGAGAAGCCGGTCGAGAAGGGGGATGCTCCGTCGCCCACATGGTGCGGAGTCCAGCCTCGACGACGGCCCAGGGTATCGCCCCGTACTCCTGGGCCTCATGGCGTCTCCTCGCATCCTCCAGCCGTCCCTCCAGGGTGTCCATCACCTTGGTGTCACCTACGTGCACGTTAATGACTGCACGGCTGCCGGCCTACGAACAACTTAGGTAAGTGACCTCTACGTCGACCTGACTGAAAGGTAAGTCGTGTGCCGTCCACGCTCACCGCACCATGCGGAGATAACTACTACAACGGGAGCTAGACTACGGGCTAGGCACGGTTTCTCGTGTTATCTCTGCGTTCGTTGTTCCTTAGTCGTTTTCCTAGTGCACACACTGCTTGCTAGATCACGGGGTAATTTTGGCAAGAGTTTCACTAGAGAAGGTTGAAAATAATGGTACAATGAAGTTGGCATGGCAAGACTACATCAGGGCTAGCATTCAGGTCGGTCGACTGCCAGCGCAGCATGGTCGACCGCGTTCCAGCACGACTTGGTCGACCGCGCTCCAGCTGTGCAAAGTCGACGGCGTGCCAACGCTGCAGGTTGATGGCGTGCCAGCGAAGCTCCCGCAGTACAGCATCGCACCAGCTTCGCAGTTGCTCGCATATGATTGGCGTGCGGAGCCTAGTCTTCTGCACAGCGCACACACCAAGTCATCCTGGCGCTAATGACTGCATCTGATCAGCCACGTCGACCTCGGGATACCACCACCGCGGTCGGACTCGCCAACTTCGCTTGGGCGACCGTCGCACTCTTCCGCAGAACCTCGTCACCCAGGTAACCTGGTCGACCGGGCAACCACGTCGACCAGCTGCTCCTGTATGTGCCCGTCGACCTCCCAAGTCGACGACCACCCCAAGTCGACCTCACCAGGTCGACCACGCCCCTGGTCGACCAGTTCCACGTCGACCAGCACTCCTGGTCGACCAGCTCCATGTCGACCAGCGCAGTTGTCAGCCGACCACCCAAGTCGGCTACCCGAAGTCGGCGTCACCAAGTTGACGCCCTACTACTCGACGCCCAGCTGCTCGGCGTCCTGAGTCGTGGTCGACGTCGGCCCCTCCTCCGTCGACTACCAGGTCAGGTCGACCACCAGGTCGACATCACGCCTGGTCGACCAACCACCAAGTCGACCAGCAGGCCAGGTCGACCAACTTCCAGGTCGACCAGCAATCCTGTCAGCCGACCACCCAAGTCGGCTGCCCCAAGTTGGCGTCACCAAGTCGACGCCCTCTGCAGGTCGACTTCCCAGGTCGACCTCCCCGTGCAGTGGCCCCCGTGCTGGTCGACCTCCTCATCAACCAGCTCGCCCACTGCTGCAGGTCGGCTGCTCCCCTCACACCCGACCACGAAGTCGGCTCCGCCCAAGCGAGGACGGGGCCAGCACACAACTCCCGTTGACATGGAGGACCCACCACAAGGGGTTCCTTAACACGAATGTACAACAAATATAGTATTCAAGCAGAATGGGTTACAAGGCTACACGTCATTCCCACACTGTCTTGCTGTGCCTGTTTTGCCATGCTGTGCCATGCCGTGCCTTGCTACCCCTTATGGCATGTGTCAGGATCGTAGATGCCTTAGTCGACAAAAGTCTGCTTGCTGATGTCGAATGCGTTCTCTTCGTTCTCACGATTCCAACGATATGCGCAGCATTTAATTCCGTCAACGTTTCACTTACGTTTGACTATCTTTTCAGTCTCACCAACGCTTGACTTCGCTTCACGGGGCTTTGACGGGCCCTAAACTCGATTTCTGCTTCATGGGCCCTTCACGGGGCCTTCACGGAACCCTGACGCGAAAAACTGCTTTCAACTGTCCTTCACTAGCGACTGACGGGAGCTTCGCGGGTGAATCCGCGTCACTAGTGCCTCGCGGGGCCTTGACCAAGGGCTTCCCTAGCCCTTCACTAGCAATTCACTAGGCAATCAGAATTGTGCCAACTGTTGGAGTTGAACCTTGCCCTTAAAAACAGAATTCTGCCACGGTTATGTTTCCAAACAACTACAACAAATTTATACTACTTGCAAAGCACACAAGTACCCCCAACCAAACGTGTCCCACAAGCTAAATGTCTTGTAACCAAACTTGTCCCACACGCCATGTGTCACGTCGAGTCGCACACGTCACCGACCCAGCTTCGTCGCATACTCCCCAAGTCTGAAAGTCAGAAACTTGTGAATCACGCCATGAATCTAACCCAACTTCTTTCCTGTCAACAAATTTCTTCAACCCTTCTACTCATCTCTTCCCCGTTTCTTTCTAAACTCCATCTCTCTTCCCCATGATGTAGCACACACGCATAGTAGCTTAGATACTTCTTAGCTATTTCGTTTTCTCTCTTCCACACGTTTCCTTCATGCCGTTGGTCTGTTTTTCGCCGTCAGTCCAAATCCCACCGTCGCTTAGGTGTGGTTGCACGAACCATCTCCAACAGCATGGAGGAGAGCCGAGCATGCAAGCAGGAAATGGAGGTGAAATGCATGCACCTGACCATGGGATGGTGCATGTGGCAAGGAAACGGAGGTGAAAGACATACGTCCCTTCAGGGTTCTTCCATAGCATGCTACCATACCATCTTGTCACGTCCTTCCACCATCGCCCCTGTGCTCCCTGCAGCGCCATGGCTCACAACCAACTCCAGGGGTCTCTTCCTTCTATCCTCGACTCCACTGCACTCACTGCTCTGTAAGAGCGCCTTGAATTTTCTCTCTCCAGCATCAAAGGAGGGAGGGAAATGTGTGTGATAATGGATGTGCTGTCTCGTTGTCTCTTGATTGATTTCACTCGAAACGCTGCCCCTCGGAGGGGCGCGTTGCCTTGGATCCTCATTCCCCTCGCTTCCTTCTCCCCCTCTTCTCCAGCCCTCCTCTACTCTCTCCCCTCCTTACCCTTCCCACAACCACCCACCACCACTGTGACCCCCCGAATCCTCAGCGATGTGAGCGAGAACCAGCTCCATGGCTCCCTCCCTGACTCCATCTCCCGCCTTGCATCGCTGCAGCTCCTGTGAGCCTCCAACAGCCCTTTCATGAACAAGGAAATGGTGCTGTTGTGAAGCAGGGATGTTTAAGGAGGGCACAAATGCCTCCTTGACAAATGGGTTGTGGACATATTGTGCTAGCCCTGACAGCACCAGCAAAGATAGCACTTTCTGCCGCAATCCACAATGTGGAACCGCACCAGTTATCTTCACTGATGCACTTTATTCGCTAGCATGCACGTGTGGCATGGCATGGCATGGCAAGGGGCTTGAAGGCAACAACTTGAGTGGCCCCATACCTGCTAGCCTGGGAAGCCTTGTCAATCTGACGTCCCTGTTGAGTACCACAACCTGTCCCTGCCACCACAAGCCTCCATGTGACTGCTCTCCTGGCAATGCTCGTACAGCATGCACTCCTCAATGGCACATGCTGCATCATCCCTTCTTGCCTCGCACGCTTTTAGTTTGTATTGTTCCTCCATAAGCGGACCTGTAACTGATAAGCTCCAAATTGATATTGCATGTGGTATTTGACCAGATTCTCACAGAATGAATTCGGGCTGGCATAATATTTTCACGTGCATGGATTATTTGTCCTACATATATACCAGTGCTCAAAGGACACTTGCATTTCCCATTGCTTCTACGTGGTAATATCTGTATCTATTCATGGCTGAGGAGAAGCTTTATCCGAACTTGTCTCAACGACAGGATAGAAGCTTTGCTGACAGAACCGCGCAGAAGAATATTTATCAACAGGAGATAATCATGCTGTGGAAACGTTAACACGCTGTTGTTGTACTCCACTGCTCCCACAAGTTCAAGTATCACCTCAGTACACTTGTGCCAGACCTTGAAATTCAGGATTCTGTATTCTTGAAATTTGTATGAGTGTTTATTTTCCTCCCTCTCATCCCCCTCCCGCCCCTCCCACTCGCCCCCAGGAACGTCTCGGGCACGGGCCTGACCTGCCCTGCAGAGGGCAGCAAGTGTGTCGTGAAGCAGAGAAACTCCACCAGCTTCTGCCGCCTCTGCTTCTCATTCTGCTCCTCATGCTCACCCCGTGCATGTAAACCTCTATGCTGCATTGAGTGAACACACACACACATGCACACACACACACACACACATACACACACACACACACACATACCCCACAAGCCCGCACATGCATGCATGCACCGACCGCACACACGCGCGCGCGCGCGCGCACACACACACACACACACACGTGCACGCGCATAAGAGCAATGCCACAGCTGCTCCAAACAGGCTTTCCAAAAACGGCTTGTTGGCGGGACAGGTATGCTTTGCTGAAAATAATTCAACTCTGTCCAATCTATATCTGTGCCAACATTCCAGTGTCAGCACCCACCGAAGCACCAGCATCGGCTGAAGCACCAGCATCGGCTGAAACATCAGCATCAACTGCAGCACCAGCATCAGTTGCAGCACCAGCATCGGCTGCAACTCCAGCGCCCAAGACCCCATCAGCATCTGCCCCTTGCACACTCATTTCTGCTGCCATCAACCTCTCTGGTGCTGCTGCTGCTGCCACCCTCTCGCTCCTGATGCTTGGAAAGTGAAGCGTAGAGTGGTTTTGTATTGATTGTTGTGGGTGAATACTTTATATAAAGTAAAATCATGGGGTGGGGTTTCTTAAAGGGGAAAAACAATATTACCCGGGTTGATTTATATGGCACATTTCAGCATAAGGGTATGATTCAATAGGCAACTTGTGTGTTTCCATGGTCGGTTTTACAGCACAGGTTGAGGCGCGAATGTGAGTTGTGGCGACAATTGTTTTCACCCCCTTGATGTTGCCATGTGGCACCTCTTTGGCCACTTGCGAGCGCGAGATTTACGAGCGTGGCAACCGCGAAACCGTGGGAGGACCGAAGTCTTGACAGAAACTACCCATGTCATTTCGTGGAGCGAGGGATTCTCTCGCTTGCACCTACTCTTTAACAGCTAGAACTAGAAATATGTAAGAAAAGGGGGGTGTTATAAAAAATCAGCCCAACAGGGGGGTTTAACGAAGACAAGGTCAACACCCACCCCGCCTAAGCCACCCGGGGGGTCTTGAATTTCGGCGGGTGGTATGTCCGGGTGATGTAGCTCCTTCATAGTGTATTTCTGTAGCCAACTTCAATAACGATGAAAAATGTTTGGGCTTCGTGGCTACCTTGCAAGCCTGCATTGGGGCTGGGTTTATTTTGAGTCAGTCGTGTACATGTTCAGTGAAGGTAATTATGCAGTACAGTGAACTGCGTAGAGATTGGGTTATGAAAATGACCCTCGGGTCACCTCTCACACTCACTTCAAGCCAAGCACATTCAGAAATTGCCGTTATTGGTTCCGGTTCTATTTCCACACCAGACCCTCTGATTCATTTCTAAGTTCATGATTGATAGACAACAGTGCTGCCGGTAATATATATGTATATATTATACATGCTGATGGCTCAGGGCTGAGCCCTGAAGGTAATCCTGAAATGTCAGTACCACTTTTTATGGTATCCTGACGAGTCCGTGTAACTATATAATTATCAGGATACATTTATGAAGTCGCATGCAAACACGGCAAAGACGTGGAATGTGGAAGGATTTCGACGAGGTCGACGACGACCTGCTTTACGACGACGCCGAGGAGGACGAAGACTTGCCGGAGCTCGACCCCGACATGCACGCCGACCCCGAGCACGGTTGGGAGAGATGCGTTGGCAAGCTGGAAGGGCAAGGCGGTGAAGGCCGCCATGGAGGAGGAGATCCGCAGCCTCATTGGCATGGGGACGTGGGAGCTGGTCGAACGCCCGCCGGGAGTGAACATCATGAAGAACCGGTGGGTGTTGACGACGAAGTACCACATTGACGACACCGTCGAGCGCGAGACGGCAAGGCTGGTCGTGAAGGGCTTCACGCAGGTGTATGGCGCCGACTACGACGAGACGTACGCGCCGGTGAGCAGCTACGTCACGCTGAGGATCTTCCTCAGCATCGTCGCCGTCCTCGACCTCAACCTGATGCAGCTCGACATGAAGAACGCCTTCCTGCAAAGCAAGCTCGACCGGGTGCTGTACATGTACCAGTCGGACTACTTCAACGACGGGACCGGCCGGGTGTGCAAGCTGCCGAAGAGCCTCTACGGGCTGAAGCAGTCGCCGCTGCTATGGTACAAGGCTCTCAACGACGTGCTGGTCGGCGCCGGGTGGAAGAAGAGCCAGGTCGCCACTGCGCTCTACTTCAAGGTCGGCGACAACAAGGTGACCTGCTGGGTGCTGGTCTACGTCAAAGACTTGCTCGCCGCTAGCAGCAGGAGCTGTAGGAGCTGCTGGAGGCCGCCTTCGAGTTGCGCAAGATCTCGCCGGTGCAGAAGTACCTCGGGCTGGAGATCGTGCGCGACAGGTCGGCGAGGAAGCTGTGGCTGAATCAGCAGGGCTACGCCGACAAGCTGCGTAGGCGGTTCCTCGACGAGGAGCAGACCGGGCGCACCCCGAATGTCAAACTTATATGCTATAGTCTGTGTAGGCTGTAGTGGGGTAGTTCATATGAGGTACAACACTTTAGGGTTTCCTACTTGTACTCCTCATTCTGCTCAATGCCATCATTCCTCGTTCTATCTTTCACATGGTATCAGAGCAGGTTCCCTAGTGTGAACATTTTTTTAGGGCCCACCACGATTTTTTTTCCTGCCCTGCCCGAAGCGCGCCTCGCGCCTGCCTCACCTTGGCCGTCGCGCGCCCTGCCCTACTGCCGCCCGTAGAGGCCCTGCCCTCCCGGCCCGTCGCGGCCCTGATCTAGCCGCCCGTCGCCGCCCTGCCCTGTCGTCGCCCGTCGCGGCCTGACCTAGCCGCCCGTCGCGGCCTGACCTAGCCGCCCGTCGCGGCCCTGCCCTGCCGCCCCCCGTTACGGCCCTGACCTCGCCGCCCGTCGCGGCCCTGCCCTGCCGCCACCTGTTGCGGCCCCGCCCTGTAGCCGCCTTGTCGCGGCCCTGCCCTGCTGCCGCCCCGTCGCGGCCCTGCTCTGCCGCCGCCTCGTCGCGGCCCTGCCCTACAGCCGCCCCGTTGCGGCCCTGACCTAACCGCCCGTCGCGGCCCTGCCCTGCACCCGCCCCTGGTAAGCGCCCGCTACCTGCCGCCGCCGCGCCCGCTGCCTGTCGCGCTGCCTCGCGCACCCCCAACCCTGCCCCGTGCCCTGCTGCCCTGCGCGCCGCGCCCTGCTGCAGCCCGCGCGTCGCGCTCTGCTGCAGCCCGCACGTAGCGCCATGCTGCCCTGCGCGTCGCGCCCTAACGCCTGCCCGTTAGGCCCGCCGCGGGCCCGCCCTTCGCGCCGCCGCGCCTGCCCGTTACGCCCGCTGTCGCGCTCGCCCGTTAGGCCCGCCGCGGGCCCTGCCTTTGCGCCACCACGCCTACCCGTTCGGCCCGTCACGGGCCCGCCCGTTCGCCCCTCCCGCACCTGTCCGCTACGCCCGCCGCGGGCCCGCCCCTTGTGCCCGCCGTGCCTGCGTTTTGCGCCCGCCGCGGGCCTGTACTCGCTGCCCAGCGCCGCCCTGCCCGTGCGCGCTGCTGCCCGCGCTAGTGCCCTGCCCTGCCAATGCGCCAGCGCCCTGCCCTGCGCGAACTGGCGCCCTGCCCTGCCCTACCCGAGCCGCCTCTGCAGCGCCCTGTGCGCCCTGCTAAACCCTAAAATAAATAAATTAATTACATTAAAAAAAAAAAAAACCCCTTTTGGTGCTTCTGCCCTAGGAGCTACTGCCTGCTACTGGCCGCGCGCCGCCCTGCTCTGGCCGTGCGTCGCCTTGCTCTAACCGCGCGCCGCCCTTCCCTGACCGTGCACCGCCCCGACCTACCCTAGTGCCTCCTCGCCGCCCTTCCTTCCCTACGTGCTGCCCTGCTGGTCGCATGACTTCTCTTCACTGCAGCGGTGGGAGTGGTGGCGACGGTGGCGGCAGCAGTGGGAGTGGTGGCGGCCGTCGTAGCAGTCGCTGTGGAGCTGTTCGGTGGGGAGGTTCTGGCTGTGGCCAGATGCAGCTGCAGCGGCGTCCGCGTGAGACCCTTACACCCTAGCAGCTTCGTGAGTGGTTTGCTCAGCGTTGGGCGTCTCAGCGTGGAGGCTGTAGTGGCCGTCGCCCTGGAGCTGGTCAGTCGGGAGTTTCTGGCGGGGGCCAGATGCAGCTACAGCGGCGTCCGCGCGAGACCCTTACGCCCCAGCAGCTTCGTGAGTGGTACGCTCAGAGTAGAGGGTCTCGGAGTACTGTTCGCTGCTCGTACGTCATTAGCACAGGTCATCGGGCTGGTCAGACTTGCGGGACAGTTGGTCACACACAGTCCCGCTGCTTCGCCTGTCTGAGCGACGCCTGGCGTACAGAGTTTGGCGACGCGGCTGAGCTCCCCGACTGGCTGGAGCTGCTTAGGCAGCGGGTGGATATCTTTGCTCTGGACTATGATGCTATCCTCACTGCCATGTATGCATTGCCTACTAGTGCTGAGGGTGACTGTTACCTGTGTGTGCCGCCTGACCCAGGTATAGAGTCTGCTGCTCTAGGTGCTGGTGAGGCTGCTGCTCTAGGTGCTAGTGAGTCTGCTGCTCCAGGTGCTGGTGAGTCTACTCTCTCTGGTACTGTGCCTGCTGAGGCCTTGCACACCTTCACACTTGACTCAGGTGCTTCCCGCTCCTTCTTTTGCGACAGCACCACACTCACGCCGCTCAGTCGGCCGGTTGCAGTCTCCCTGGCAGACCCCTCTGGGGGCCCTGTCCTTGCGCACTCCTCCACGGTCCTGCCGTGTCCGGCGGTCCCGTCTGGCTCACTGTCGGGTCTTCACCTCCCCTCGTTCTCTACGAACTTGGTGAGTGGAGCTGACCTCCAGGATGCGTGGGTTGACCAGTTCACTCCTGGAGGTCAGCGTGTGACCCACTGTACGTGCTCCCGGACTGGTCGGCACCTGGCCACGTTCACCCGAGCGCCTGGCTCGAGTCTGTACACACTGACTACTGTGCCCCCTTTGGTAGCTGCGTCTGCATCTGCGTCAGGTCAGCTAGCGGCCCCCTGCTCGTGCCGCGCTTTGTCGCA